AAGAGAAGGCTGAGGGGGGATCTTGTGGCCTGTTACAAACTGGTCAGGGGGGATCAGAAGGCATTGGGGGAGTCACTGTTCCCCCGAGAACAGCCAGGAGTGACCAGGAACAACGGTCACAAGCTAGCAGAGGGTAGATTTAGGTTAGACATCAGAAGGCGCTATTTCACGGTCAGGGCGGCTAGGGTCTGGAACCAACTTCCAAGGGAGGTGGTGCAGGCTCCTACCCTGGGGGTTTTTAAGAAGAGGTTAGATGAACACCTTGCTGGCATCGTTTAACCCCAGTACTCTTTCCTGCCATGGCAGGGGGTCGGACTAGATGATCTTCTCAGGTCCCTTCCAACCCTAGAAACCATGAAACTATGAATTCCTTCCATGTTCCAGAAGAAGAGCCTATTCTTTAGTGGTATCATTAACCAAGCTTGCCTACCCCAGGACCAGATATAGATCCCTCTGAGCCGGAGACAGTGAAGGAATTACTACATCTTAATTGCCAGATGAAGCTGTGATATCAGATTCTACACTGGTGAGTGACTTCAAAGTTTCCAGGACTGTCCTGTATTGTAGGGAGCCTAAATATTGCGATTACATTTATCCAGTAAACTAACCATCAGGAATGGTCCTTCTTATTAACAAGGTGGTCCTGGAATCAGCTACTGGTCTGCATCAAACCTCAGCACCTTTTGCTCCAACTTGTGAATAAGCATAGAAGAAAGATTGTACTTCTGGAAGACTTTGACTACTTATGCACCCATTCAAATCTAGGATGCTGCAATCTTCATTGCCTTGCAGAGTCTCCCAAAGGCATGCCTAAGGATGAAGTCTAAAATTTGAACTTCTTTGGACGGAAGATGTTTTCATTAGCCTCTTTAGGTGACAGACTACCAGGCACTACTTGCCAAATACAGTTAACAAAGTTGGGAAGGAAGCTCTGTCTCATTTAATACAGTGCAGGAAAACAAAGGTGAATTTAAGGAAGTAATCAAGGAGGACCATATGACTGAGATACTCTGCATGCACCTCTTGATACTGCCTGGTTATAATGGCTATGGTTTTGCTTGTTGCTTCAGACCTCTTTCATATGACACATGATAAGAGCCATTATAGAGGTCCTGGAAGACTTCAGCCAAAGATGGGGCAAGTATTGACAACTGGAAGACCAAAGAAGTATTGGCAAGGAGAGCATGCTGTTCTAATTTTGGGGTCAGCAGCCAGACTACCGGCTGAAAGAAAATACAGCGGACTCCAGAGCATAGCTGTCTCCTGCCTCCTTGGCTAGCCGATCTCCTTGAGGCAACTAATTTGACGGGGCATTGAGAGCTTTACCTTGTACAGCTACCTTGTCTTTATCTTGCACAGCTACCCTTTTTTTTTCTATAAGGCATTCAGTGTCCATTAGGGCTGTGCAAATCTTTGGTTGCTGATTTGGTTCGGTGGCTGAATCTCCAAACCCGAATCGAATCAGGAGACCAGTAAAAAGGTCTGAATCAATTCGAAGCCTGTGAATCATTTCGGAAAAGCTTCAGAGAAGGTTCGGCTATTCGGGCAGTCCCTGCTCACAACCTCAGGGAGTGGGACCCGGACTCCGTGCTTGTTAGGGGGGTGCGGGGGGAGGGCTGCAGGAGTGGGGAGGGGACCATGGGACCCTATCCCCTGCCTGCTGCACCGCCCAGCCCCAGCATCCCGGTGCTTTTTCTTAAGGCGCCACACTCACTGGCTGCTGCAGCAGCTGCCGGGGCATCTGGGGGCTCGTGGCAGCAAGGAGTAGCAGGAATC